GGGGAGCAGGACGGGAGGTAGCGGCTCCGGCGGCAGCGGCGGCGACACGGCAGCATCATCGGGGTCCCTGCCGGCCCGGCCGCCGCCCCCGCTGGGACTCCGCGCTGCCCGGCCTCACCCTCCGCCCATCGATGGAGCCGTGGTGGAGGCAGCGCCCGCCCGAGCCGCCTGAGGGGCAGCAGGAGGAAGGAGAGGAGGAGGGCAAGGAAGCAGTCGCCCTAGCCGGGACTCCGCGCTGCCCGGCCTCGCCCTCCGCCCATCCAATGGAGCTGCAGTGGGGGCTGGTGCCGCGCGGCCCCTGCCAGCCCCTCTGCCAGCCCGGCTGCCCCCCCCAGGCACCCCTCTTGCCCCGGCACCCGCGTGAGCCGCTTTGGAGGAAGAGGAGGGCAAGGAAGCCGCCGCCAGCGCCAGGCCCCAGGAGGCAGCTCTACTCTCCTACCTTTGCTGAATCTCCTTCCCAGCAGCCTGGATTCTGGCGCGCCTTCCCGGCCAGCAGGTCCAATGGTCGGGCTGGCTGGGGATCGCAGGGGCTGGTCTCCCTTGGGCCGCGGCTTTCGGGAGGGCTGGCCCGCTCAGCGGAGCCTCCAGCGGGCCTCTCCCAGCAGGGATCCCGGGGCTTCCCCGGGCGGCTCCCCCCCCAAAAGAACTACGGTACTCAGCTGACTCGAGTATAAGCCTAGGGGGGCATTTTTCAGCACAAAAAATGTGCTGAAAAACTCGGCTTATACTCGAGTATATACGGTATATGTGAAATAGAGTAAGAATGTATCTTTTGAAATAATATGTTTATTTTATGTATGAAAATTACCTTGTAATGGAATGAGAATAAGAAAATGGATTGTGATAATAGAGGCTTTAGAGATTTGGACTGATTTAACAATTAACTGAGTATGTGAAGTTAGCAAGATGATATTTTGTGTAACAATATGTTTGTTTTAGATATGATAATTATTCGGATGAGATTTAAATCTTACCTAATGGACTGAAATGATTGTTTTTGTCTTGTTTTGTTATAGAAATAGATTGACTGATAGATTATATATACAAAATAGAGTAGAGTAATATTTTTTATCTTAACTAGGATAACTATTTTGTAGTGGAAGAAGAAATAAGAGAGATTTGTGATAAGAGAAAAATTGGTACTAATCAATGACTTATTAGACTAAGAAATAGAATATATCTGGAAATATTAGAATGTTATTGTTGGAATATTATGTGTATTTTAGAAGGGGTACCCGAAGTGCTAATAATATGTTTATTCAAGATTAAATTGGATTATGGTAATTCTAAATCAGTAAAGCTTAAAAACAGGATTTGGATCTATATAGATGTAATGTAGAAATGGATTAACCTAAATATGTTATACTATTTGAGGGAAACAGAGAGGGAACATTTAATGATTTAATTTGAGTAATATATATATATGATTTTGTCTTTGGATGATTGATTACCCCATCACCACGGTGTTTCTCAAGCACTTTGATGTAAAAGTTAAAAAACCAATAAAACTTGTTTATAAAAAAAATAGGATGTTGTCTTTTACAAATTCAGTTGGTTGGCCTATTTTAATGCTCTTTTTATTTTGACACATGATGGAATGATTTTGAATAATATACATCATGAAGGGCAAAATCATAATGTAAAGAGAAGATACAAGGTTTCTTTTCCTAAAAGCGGCCACTGGAGTTGGACAATAGGGAAGAGACGGGTTTTGAGAATTTTATTTCTATATATTTCTCTATCAGATAAACAAATGGCTATGTTCCGACAATGCACGCAGTCACAAGCCAGCCAGTTTTAGCCTACAGAATTGTATGAAGCAAGCCTATGTGATTAGTTTTGTGGATCAGCCCATCATGCGATGGCAGGAACTGAATTGACTGAATACAGTTAATGACCTCGACTTATGACCACAGTTGAGCCCAAAGTTTCTGTTGCTAAGCAAGGGTTCTTGAGGTTTTGCCCCATTTTACAACTTTTCCTGCCACGGTTGTTAAGTGAATCACTGCAGTTGTTAAGTTAGAAACATGATTGTTAAGTGAATCTGGCTTCCCCATTGACTTTGCTTGTCAAAAAGCGTTTGCATAACTTTGGGATATTGCAACCGTCATAAATATGAACCAATTGCCAAGTGTCCAAATTTTGATCCCAGGACCATGGGGGTTGCTGCAACAGTTGTAAGTGCGAAAAAAAGTCATGAGTCACTTTTTTTTTGGTGCCATTGTAACTTTGAACAGCCATTGAACGAATGGTTGTAAGTCTATCCGTAAACCATGACTGTTGGGCAAAGACAGCTAATCCTCTTCTTCCACAGATGGCAAGAGGCCTTGTCCAGGCTTAAGAGATGCAGGCCCTGAGGCCAAGAGGCCTTGCCTACAAGAAGAACAGCCAGGGCCACCTGAAGAGAAGCCGCTCAGGTGAGTCACCAGGTATTTTGGTAGCTTTTGGTGCAGTCCAGTTCTTTCATGCCACAGAGCCAAGCCACCTCCCAAATGCTGAACTGAGGAGGGATTGTTGCTCTGGCTGGCGTGTTGGAGGAGTGAGACAGAATCTGACATGGAGCTGGTCTTTTTCTGTACTAGTTGTTTGCTGCCTGTTGAGAATCTTGACCCCAATTTGGCCGAACGATTGCTACGATTAGAGGCCCTAGAGAAAGGAAAGGCTGGGAGCCAGATGTTACCTCTTCTTAACACACCACGCAGGGAACGGCTGAATGTTCTGAAACTCCTCGATGAGACACGCCGTGAGCTGAAGGTCTGTCTTTTGTGTTTCCATTGTTCTGCTTTGATGTGACTAAGTACAATGGTACCTTGGTACTCAACTGCTTTGAAACTCATCGAATTTGGTACTCGACACACAAGCTAGAACTTGTCGATGTCGGTTGCCTTGTGACTCACTATATTATTCCTTATGGGAAAAATCTGTTTGGTACTCGTTGCGCCTCCTGGAAGCAATGAACGATGAATACCAAGGTACCACTGTAATAGGAATGCAATATTTAGTTGGATGCTCAGATTAATTGATTTAAAACATGGTCCTCGTTAACCAGTCAGATTTTTAGAAGAATGCTGGGTCTTTGTCTAGTCTTTTAAAATAAAATTCACCCATACTGAAAATTGAGCAGAGTTTAACACATTCTTTAAACCAAGGTACTTATTTTCTGTTTTATACAGATAGGAATATTTCTGCTGAGTTGAAGCTTTTTAAAAGAAATATGTATATTATCTTCAAAGCCTGTATGCGAATCACAAATGGATGCATTTGACTGAAAAATATGACACCTTAAGCCAGTGATGGCAAACCTTTTAGAGACCGAGTACCCAAACTGCAACCCAAAACCCACTTATGCATCGTCAGGTGCCGGGTGGGTGTGGCCCATTGGCTGGGCGTGGCTGCAGTCGTAACGGCAGACTGGGTGGGACTAAAAAGTTCAATCAATCAATTCCAACTTTGCAAGATCTTTTTTTTTCCCGCGAGGTTGAAATTGACTGATTGATTGAACCTTTTTTTTTTTTTTGCACACGGCGGTGGGGGCCTAAAGCGAAAAGGTTTTATAAAACCCAGCTGAAGGCCTAGGACTGGGGCGACGGCATGCGTGCCCACAGAGAGGGCTCTGAGTGCCACCTGTGGCACCCGTGCCATAGGTTCGCCACCACTGCCTTAAGCATTTCATCTGATAATTGCTCTTTTCTCTCTTTTGCCATCCTCACTTCTTTTTTTTATTCAGAGTTGTGGGAATGGTAGATGTTAGACTTCAAAGAGGTAAAAAAAAATTAACACTGATTAATATTCTGATTTCTGCTGTGTTGATCCTGTCCAGTTCACGCATTCAGAAAAAGTAACCATAGGGTACTATTTATAATAATAATAATAATAATAATAATAATAATAATAATAATAATAATAATAATAATAATAATAATAATAAAAAAGCAACAGAGAGAAGCACTTAGAACAGGGGTGTCGTGACGTGTCGCGACATGTCGCGACTTTTTTTCCATTGCCGGCAATGGGGTGGGCGCAGTTTTGGCATGATGCATCCAGCCCGCGGGCCGGCAGTTTGACACCCCTGACTTAGAAGCAAAAGGTTGATAGAGTGGAGACTTGGAGGAAGGGCAAAATGGAAGCCAACGAACCAGTGATGCATGGGCCCAGTTCCATTTGAATGGAATGGTGAAGAGAGAAATTAAAAAGGGAGGGATTTGGATAGAGCAGGTAACCCCAACCTCATGGCAGATACTGTTAAGTAAGTTCTATGCCACTTGTGCGTTGAAGGGAGAGAGGTTCATAGCAATAGAGGCAATGACTGACTGCCATAAGATCACGGTTGAACTATTAGTCCAATAACAGTCTTTTCTTTTCCACAAAGACATCATGACACTTTCTTCCTTTTCCCCACCTGCACCTTAAATTAGCCCTTATTTTACCCCTGCTTCTTCCAGAGAGTTAAAGAAAAGCAGTTAGAAATGGAAACCCAGACTCTGAAGAACAAAGAAGGTGCGCTTTTCCCCCGAGCTGCAAAACCCCGAAAACAGGCCACAGTACTGCCCCTCCAACAAGGTGAGAAGGTTGGGGAGGCTTTTGAAGTCAGCCCTTCCTTATTCTCCTGTGTTGCAAGGTCCCAATTTGCTTTCTTTTCCTCTCCAGTGCAAACACCTGTCAAGAGTCAAGAAGAAGAGGAGGGTGTTGTTAAGAAACAGAAGACCAGAGGCCGAAAGAAGAAGGTGGGTAAATCGATTTTGGCTCCATTTTGGTGAAGAACAGGTAGGGTAGCAGAATTTTTCTCCAGCCAATTTGCCATGTGTATCACAGTTTTTAAGGCAACTTACAAACATACCGGAACAGAGGTATCTCCTGGGAAAGAGCCATTTCAAACTGTCAATTGGAAGCCTATGTCCTCCAGATCAGGGCTTTTCAACCTTTTCACCCATTGTACCACTTTTAGGATAAGGCAATATCCGAGTACCACCAGTCGCCCAGTAAGGTGTCAAAAACTTGATGACCCCAAAAAAAGGAAAAAATGATAAAGTACAGGTACACTTACAATTCGCTTAGTGACTGTTTGAAGTTACAACGGCACTGAAAAAAGTGACTTATAACCATTTTTCACACTTATGACTGTTGCAGCATCCCCAGGGTCATGTGATCACCTTTTGCAACTTTTTGACAAATGAAATCAATAGCCAGGGGGGCGTGGCCAGCTCATCACTCAGGTTGCAGGGTGCCTGTGGGGGGTGCGGGCGGGGATGTGGGGGGGGATCCGTGGGTCTCTGGTGGAGGGGGTGGGACAGGCATGGGAGCCTGCCTTCCCTCCCTCTCTCCCTCCCATTGTCCCTTCCTTCTTTTCTTCCTTCCCTCCCTCTTTGTCTCTTCCTCCTTCCCTCCCTCCCTTCCATTGTTCCTTCCCTCTCTCATTGTCCCTTACTTCCCTCCCTCTTTGTCCTTTCCTTCCTTCCCCCCTCCGTGCCCAGGAAGGGACAAGAGGGGGACAGGCTGCCAGCGTGGCCGGTGGCTGTGCTGCCAGTGGCCATGGCGACATGCCAAACCTGCCTGTGCACGCGCAGAGGCAGAGGAGAACTCTGCCCAGCTCACTTGCTCGTGCTTCGCCGGAAAACATGCCGCTTGCTAATTTAGCAGAAGCGCCAGGATCAGCGCTGGGCTACAGCTGATTCGCGCTTCTGCTAAATTAGCAAGCGGCATGCTTTCCAGCAAAGCGCGAGCAAGTGAGCTGGGCAGGAGCCCAGGAGAGCAGCTACAGCTGATCTGCGCTTCTGGGCTGCTCTGCAGAAGCGCGGATCAGCTGTAGCTGCGCGCCCCAATCCTGGGCTCCTGCCCAGCTCACTTGCTCGCGCTTCACCGGAAAACATGCCGCTTGCTAATTTAGCAGACGCGCCAGGATCAGCGCCGGGCTACAGCTGATACATGCTTCTGGGTGGCTCAGCAGAAGTGCGGCTCAGCTGTAGCTGCACACGCCGATCCTGGGCTCTTGCCCAGCTCATTTGCTTGCGCGAGCGAGAGGGCAGGGGCACGAATCGGCGTGTGCTCAGAAACGCCGATCTCGTGCTCCTGCTCATCTCACTTGCAGAAACAAAATTCAGAAGACAAGGAAAGGCATCAAAAGCTGTTGATAGAAAGCAAGCGGAAAGCAAGCAAGTGAGCTGGGCAGGAGCGCGGAATCGGCATTTCTGAGCACACGCCGATTCGCGCCCCTTCATTCTTCTGAATGAAGAATTTTAGGGGGTGTTGAAAGCGAGACAGACTTAGGGCTGTATTAAGACTATAGATGGCTGCGTAAGGAGAGTGGAAGGGAGGCGAATTCGGGGTGGAGCAGAAAACACGGGGGGAAGGCGTTAGGAAATAAGCACCAAGGTACATGGTGCCTTGCAAGGGATTCCCGAGTGTTCTGTAATTGTTTTTCCTCTCTCTGCGCGAGAAAAACTTTTGCGGCGTAAATCTGAAACCAGGTGTTCCTGTGAGGTGGAGCAGGATGTCCTTGGGAGAGGCGAGGACAAGCTTGCCGTTTCCTCTCTCCCAATCCCCTTCCTCTTCTTCACCCCCTTCCCCGGCCTGCCTGCGATCTTAGCTCGCGGCTCCGTGGCTTTTCTTTGCCTAGCCTAGCCAAGCTTTCTTCCGCCCGCCCCGTTCCCGGGAGCGGGAGCGCCGAGGAGGTACGGCAGAAACACATGAAGGCGAGAAGTAAAAAACAAAACAAACGCGGAGTTCCAGCCAGTAGAGTCTTGGCAGCCCGGCTGCCGAGAAACAGGAGAGCGCAAAGCCAAGGAGAAGAAGGTGGTGGTTTCCTCCCAAAGAGGGCTCCTTTTCTCCACCCCTTCCCCTGGGTTTGTGGGGGAGGTTCTCGTTTCTGACGCTGACAGGTGCTCCGAGCCCGCCGCAAGCTTTCTCGCCCCCTTTGCTTCTCCCCCCGCTTTCGTGAGGATTGTGGCGCCCTTGGGAAGCTGATCATGCTTTGAACCTTAGGAGAGGAGGAGGAGTCCCTTCCTCCTTCTCTCCCTCTCTCCCTGTCAAGCCCCCGCGGGCTCAACATGAACGGGCGGGGGAGGGGTCGAGGACAACGTGCAGGGCGGCAAAGGAGACCAGCGGCCGGCGCTGTTCTACCTGGCAGCGTGGGTGTCGGCTCCGTGGGCGTCCCGACCAACAGCTGAGCGGCTCCAACTTCTGGCCGCAGAACTGATGGGCACGAGGCCGCGTGGGTGTCCCCACGAACAGCTGAGCGGCTCCTACTCTTAGCCACCGAACTGCTGATTGGTGCGAGGCCGCGGCAGTGAGCCAAGGGCTGAAAGGCTCTGTCTCCCGGCCACCGAACAGCTGATGAATGCAAGGCCTGGACCACAGCTGAACGGCGCAGCGACACTCACGGGACTGGAAGGCTGCAGCGCTGCAACTCCCATTGTCCCTTCCTTCCTTCCATTGTCCTGTGCTACGCCGCCCAGACCCCAGCCTGGTTTTGGCAGGCAGCAACACATCACGGCCCTGCCTGACATCACGGCTCTGCCTGTGCGCACGCAGAGGCAGAGGAGAGCGCATAGGCAGGGCGGGGATGTCGCCGGTTCACCTCCCGTTTTCAGGCACGTACATTACGAACCGGCTACTTCTGCTGCAAAGGCGCATCTCCCGAAAAGATGGGGGGGGGGGAAGAAAGGCGATCAGTCAGCCAAGAGCCTGGCTGTTTCAGACTTTAAGCCTGCGATACAGGCAACGGAAGGGGAAACGGGCGGGCAGGCCGGCCGTCGCAGAAATGGGGAAGGGTTAAATGCTGCAAAACTGGGGAGAGGGAGTCAAGCGGGCGCATTTCTCCCTCCACACCCACGTTCTGTTGGCTTTGCCTGGCGCGTGTCAGCAAAACAAACGGCCTCGATTCCCACCTGCTGCTGTGGGATGAGTCCTCCGGGAGGCAACGTGAGGGCCCTGAGGGGTATCGCAAGCTTTCGGGGGGGAAGGAAAAGAAGATGGAAGAGTGTGAGGCCGCAATGGAGAGAGAGAGAAGGGGGAAAAGAAGGAGGGGCGTTTGTGATGTTGGCGCTCAGGGCCGCGACGCGAGTGGTCTCAAACCCCTTCCTGCCGAGGGAGTGGACGGCTCTGTCTCCTATCAGGCTAGCGCTTGTTGTGAAGTAAGAAGAGAGAGGGGAAGGGCGATACGGATCCCGCTGACCTGCATGCACGAGAAGAAGTCAATCTGGCTGCTGCACAATGAGTCCCTGGGGAGGGCGGGGCCTTGCTCTGCGCCTGCGCTCTTCACGCGCCCTCCTGCAGGGCACATTCAGTAGGGTTCGTGCAGGCTGCCGCCAAGCAGCATGTTTTCCACAAACAAGTGAGCTGGGAAGGAGCGGGGGGGGGAGGAAGGCGACGCCGCGGGTGGGAGGAAGGCGACACCGCGTACCACCAGCCAGGTGGTCGCGTACCACCAGTGGTACGGGTACCACCGGTTGAAAAGCCCTGCTCCAGATGTTTTGTTAGCTGCTAGCATCCTAAGCCATATTGACTGCAGCCAATAGCAACTGAGGGTGCAGCCATTTTTGGAGGACCCTTAAGGAAAACTGGGATAGGGGACCTTACTGGTTCATGAACATTACTACCCAGGTTTGAGGGCCTTCCCATCTCCCTGTGCAAATTGGGGATTGAATCTTGGAAATCAGGCAACAAATACTGTAGTAGCTCCAAGTATAAGAGACCTTGGCTTTGATGCCTTAGTGCAGGAGGGTCTTGTGCTCTCATCTGAGGTACATTCAGGCACTTTAGACAATTGAGTTAAAGAGAAGGAAAGATTATAAGACCGGTAATGCATACTAATAATTTCCTTGCTCTTAATTAACAGGAATGTACACTGTGATCCAAGAAACTGCAGAATAATTATTAATAGTGTGGGGCTATAAGGAGGAGGCAGTGGAACCAATCAGACACTGCAATTTAGGTTTGTGGTCGGTGGAAAGAGTAGACATTTTGCTGTTTCTAATATCTGCACTGACCATATGCTCCAAAACAAGACCTGATTGGTTCTGCTACCTGCTACTCACACTCTGGGGAGAGTTTCATTTGGAAACTGTCCAGCAGCTTTAACAGCGTAGGATGGCCAGCAGGAAGAGATAGCTGTTGAAGTTTTGGTACTAGAGGTGTGGATTTTCTAGAAAATTTGGCCAATGAGTATGATTCAATTAGCATATTTGTCTTATTAGTCATAGTCTTCACAGGTATTAGGGCCAAATTGTTTTGACGTCGGGGGGAAATCAAATGTAGCTGCTTTATGAAATTTGAACATTAAATTTACAGAAAATCACAAATATTTTTATTTAAAATTTGAAAAGACCATTGGGCAATAAGTAATACAAAAATAGTAGCAGTGTAGTTTTACTTTCTCGTTGTTTTTTTAAGATAACCCACTGCAAAACATTCTGATTTGAATTTGCCAAACGTTCCCAAACTAAAATATTTTCCACAGAAAAAAATTACCCTACATCCTTAGCATTGTTACTACCATCACTAAATAAAAGCAGGTCACAGGTGAAGTAGTCAAGGCAATGGGCAAGCAGCCCTGAGAAATAGCTTTGTCCAGAGACTTCTCAAACCTGGTAGCGCTTCTGGGTCTTGTCATATAGCTTCAGTGTACAGGGAACTACCAGGGAGACGAATTAAGGGCTGGTCAATAACTCACCAACCATTGAAGGCCAATAGATTACCTAACAATTGTGAGGAAAGTATGTTTTGGGAGGAATGGGAGCGTGTTAGCAAGATAGAAACTTAGAATGTGTCTTAGTTAAGGCAAACTTGAAATCCTCTTTGCAGTATGCTTTACCAAAAGTGCTACAAGCTACATGAACATAACTGATATGTTTCTTTTCATTAAGACAATAACTCTTGAGGATAATTACAGTGGATGGGGAAGTAATTTGAGGTTTGCTAATTATGAATATTTATGCTTACGTCATCTATTACCCATGCATAGGTAATAGTATGCATAATTACCTATGCACCTTGACTATCTTTTCTCCTCCTTTCCTGAAATGTATAAATGCATCCTTTTGTCTGTGGGAGTCCCTTTGTCAGGCGCTTCCCAAACCCATTATTTTCTAGAGGGAATTACTCCAGCACACACGGAATAAACAATTACTTCGTGAGCCTTATTGGTTTTGAGGTCCTGCGCTTGATTCCACAGTGTATTCTGATGTAGGCAAATTGATTGGACCAGTGGATAATAGGTCTTTTGGGGGAAAGCTCTGAGCAGATCTCGTAGCTTAGACCAGGGATCTGCAACTTGGACAACTTTAAGACATGTGGACTTCAGCTCTCAGAATTCCTCAGCCAGTATAGCTGGCTGAGGAATTCTGGTAACTGAAGTCCACAAGTCTTACAGTTGTCAAGGTTGCAGACCCCTGGCTTAGACAATCATTTCTTTGCCATGATTCTTGTCTATATTAATAGGAGGTAGGAGTTGATAAATGGCTATGTAAGAGGGGTTTGGTTTTAAAAGGCAGCCTCATTGGTCACTCTGTTTCCATGTTTGTTTTTCAGATTTTAGATTTCGACTCTGAAAACAAGGCTCCCCTTGAGTTTCAGATGAAGATCCATCCAGATCAGCTGGCTCATAGCAAAGCTAATATTCTGTCCCTCATGAACTCAGGTTCCGTGAAGGATCTTATGGGCCTGCATCTCATTGGCAAGAAAAAGGCCCAGCTCATTGTGAGCTGGAGAGAAAATTATGGATTTTTTGAGAAGGTTGGTGGTCTCAGAGGGCAGAGTTTATTTGGGACATATTGCTGATCCCATAATTTCTCACCCTAGACAAGCAACTCTTTTATCATCTGAGCTCCATGCTTTTTTAAATACTAACAATCCAATTCCATTAATCATGTATTGCAGCTATTTGTGTGCCAGATTCAAAGTCCTCATGGTATTGTACTTTGTGCCCCAATAATAATAGTACCACTGTTGGTTTCTTTCAAATGTTTGCAATCTTCATTTGCAAATCTGAGTGTTTTGTAATCCTTCCCAATTCCACCACCATCATCACCACCATTACCTCCTCCTCCTCGCCCTTGAAAACCATCAAGGGCATGGAAGTGTTGCACTGAAGACAGGTGGTATAAATGTTAACCTCTAGTATAATTTATATTCTTTTATTGACATTGCACTGCAACAAGCAAAAACAATTTTGCCACTACAACTTGACCATTTTGCTACCACAACTTGATTATTTTGGTGGCACTATGCAGGTAGTCCTCGACTGAACAACCATTCATTTAGTGACTGCTTGAAGTTATAATGGCATTTTAAAAATGACTTATCACAGGTTTTTCACCCTTACAACGGTTGCAGCATCCTTATGGTCATGTGATCAAAATTCAAGCCCTTGGCAACTGGGCACGTATTGATAATTGCACTGTCCCAGGGTCCATGTGATCACCACTTGTAAACTTCCCAGCTGGCTTCCAACAAGAAAAGTCAATGGGGGAAAGCCAGATTCACTTAACAGCTTCATGGTTCTCTCAACAACTGCAGTGATTTGCTTAACAACTCTGGCAAAAAAAGTTGTAAAATGAGGCAACACTCATTTAATGATGGAAAAATTGGGCTCAATTGAGGTCTACTGTATTAGGGAGAGTTCTGAGGATCATTGTTAATAAGGCTGTGGATTGCCCAGTGCTGTTCTAAATGATGGGCTATACCAGGGGTAGGCAACCTTGGCTCGTTTATGACTCGTGGACTTCAACTCCCAGAAATCTGAGCCAGTTGAAGTCCACGAGTCATAAAAGAGCCAAGGTTGCCTACCCATGGGCTATACCTTATTGTATCATTTTTTTTCTTTTTATAGGTACAGGATCTTGAGAAAATTCATGGTATTACAGCTAAACAAGTAGACTCTTTTATGGAGGTATGCATTTAGTCAAGTTTCTACTCAGTTCAGAGAAAGATTGTCTAAATTATGTAATTTAATTGGATCAGAATTCCAACTGGTGGTGTGGCTGGTGGCAGGGAATGATGGAAGTTGTCACTCAACATCTGGAAATTCACCTTTGTGTGTGTGGGGGGGCTAAAAATAGGATATTGAATATATGAATATTCTGTTCTATTACAGAATCCCAATACTTACCCAGCATCTACATTTATGAGTTAAAAATTAAAGTTTTAGCACACACACAAAAAAGGTAATCAGTGGTACCAAATGACTACAAATAAGTATATAGTTTTTTACTCAAAGCCAGAAAAGTTGCTAGCTTCATAATTTGTTAACAAAAATAATAATTTTACTTTTTAATGAGAAGTGATCTAGCACTTCAAAGGCTAAATGCTCTGGAAAGACTCTCCTGTGTTTCTTTTTTACTAAAAGCAGAGTTCGACTTGCTTACCAGCCACAGAGGGGAGACTAAGTGATTTATTCTTACTCCACCTTCCTAGATAGAATTACTTGCCACTTATAGTGACTAGGTTAATAATTAAACATATTCTTAATTAAGGTATAGTTTCTGAGTGCCGTATTAATGGCTTGATACTATAATGGCTGAATTTGCATGTTCTAATAAGGCATAATTCCCAGTTTAGCATTTGATGGATTATGAAACCATTATGTGCTGAGTTACTGAAGACATTTCATTCCCCTTGGTTGCTCACATTAGCAAACCAGGAATCTAAATTTAGAATAGCTTTCCATTATATTTCAACATAAGGCATAGTTAACTCCAGGAGAAATTAGATGCTAGAGTAAAACCAAGCCTCCAAGCTATACATATATAGCTTGGAGGTGGAAAATATGCATGAAAATGATGATATGGTCAAAATACTAACTTGCCTAATAATTGTGCACACAGTGTACAAATGCTCGCTTATTTGGGATTGTCCTGGGTGCAAGCAATGAGGCTATGTTTGATGTAGCAGCTTTATTTAACTTACATTAAAAAGGGAATAAAGGATAAAAACAAAATAAAAAGGAACAGGGCACAAAAAGAGAGACAGTTGTGTACCTAGAATTGGTCATGCTTAGAGCAGACCTGCTGAAATTAATTAAACCTGTTAGTCATCATTAATTTGATCCATTGATGGATTTATTCTCAAAGTAGAAGCATCTGGATCCAGACTATAGTAGGAAAGCTTCCATGAGAAACAAAACTGGCATCTTTCAGATAAGTTAAGGGAGAATGGGTTTTTTATCTGTCCCTGTTTTATACACATAATTTTTATTAAACTTATCAAGATATATAAATGAAAACATTGGGAAAGGGGGGGAGAGAGAAATATAGGAGAATGGAGAAAAAGCGTTAGCTTCTGACTCTTCATTGCAATAGAATAATAACATTACAGCTTCAACTTATATTTTTGCATAATTAATAGCCATTTCTATAACAACAAACTTGTCTAATCAGCAAAAGCTGAAGTCAAAAGTTTTGTTTTATTTTTCCTTTCAAGCACAAATCCAGAAGCGGAGGTTTTCTATAAGTGCTTTTTCAAAAGGCACCTGGGCTTTTGTTTTTCCTTGAATACGTTTCGCTTCTCATCCAAGAAGCTTCTTCAGTTCTAACTGAATGGAGGAGAATTCACCACCGCTGAATTCTCTTTTGAAAAAGCACTTTTGGGTTGCTAAACGAAGTTTTAATCATAGAGGTAATCGGGCAATGCCTACTGATTGTTGGTAGAAATTCTAGCCCACTGAATAACACCAAACAGCAAGTTGAAATTAGACAGAGATTTATTGGATATAACGGTTTGCAAAGCGTGGTGGACTCCAAATAAATATTTGAGCCACACCTAGTCACAACAAAGACACACATTATATACATTCTATCCCGATGCCTTGGCCCCTCCTCTGAGGTTACAATCTTATCA